GACAATATTTTGCGGGATACACAAAGGTGGGTGTTATCAAAAAGTTCATCGAAACCATAACATTTTTTTTGTTTTAATGTTTATAAATTTATACGTATTGGTATTTGGTGTGCATTTATTATATAGTTTTTTTTAAAAAAAAAAATTTAGTCTTTGCCGAAATTAGTGAGAGCGATGCTTCTGGTGCCAAGAATCTAAACATCAATTGACCAAATATTATGGTGGGGTTCGAAATCTAAAATAAATGACAATGAAAATCTTAAAATTTTGGTTTCACTGTGTGTCGGAAATGTCCTTTTTTACTTTAACAGTTTTTTGGTGGCGCTTTACGTATGTCGTTTTTTTTGTTTTTTTTTAACATTGGTACTAATAAAATCAATGATTTATGGTGTAGTTGTAAAATGAAGATGATTCACACTAGTATTTAAAGCACCATAATGTTTTAAAATTCGCCGATAGGCCCATTATGTTTTTTCAATAGATCTTATGGGCCCATAATCATATCTATCACTATCAGCAATGAGCCGGTTTAATTCCTATCTACCAAAACAAATCCGGTTCACATCATAATGTTTACATTGAATGCGTTTACTCGGAATTTACCAAACTAATCTGATTCAAACCAAATAAACACCACTACTCGTACCAAAAATTAGCAATGTCGTAAGCCAAACCGGTTCAAATAAACCAAGCAGATTGAGAGAACAAGTCTAGTTTGTAATGTATTAGAAGAGTTTCTATTTCACCTTCCATTGCTCAAACTCCATGGAGCTTAACAAGAAGGAGCTTGCATTCTTATGACCACCACCTCCGAATCTCTGAGAAACCGGTGTTGTGTCTTCTTCCGCAACACTCCTCAAACTTACTTTCAGTTTGGTCTCATCTCCAAGCTCGGGGACTCTGTAAACAACAGCTCCAATACCTCGGAACTTCAGATTCTTGCTCTTCTCAGCTAATTGATTCCCGAGTTCGCTTCTAAGTTCCGCAATCTCATCTGCGTTTACAGCTAAACACCGACCAAACTCTTCATCGCCTCCAAGAACAATCTCGTAGGACTGTTCCAGCGCCTCGTGAATCAGTTTATGTTTCCTAGATAAACTCTCTTTTCCTCTGTTGATCACACTGTCATGATCCAATGAGAGTAGCTGATGAAACAGTGATTGGTTCTGATTGAAATCGTATTCGATCTTTAAGTCCAATATTCCGCTGTTGAATGCTTTGCTCTCCGGTAATTTCCACTTCCAGATATCCGCGTCTTCAATGTACTCGAAAACACGTCTCATTCTCTTGAAATCATTCATCTCTCTGCAATTACCTCGACATTCTTCAATCAGCTTCTGAGTAAAATAGTCATAAGCAATCGTCGCGCCGCTTCTCCCTATATCCAAAACTTTGGTAACGTTCTTGCAAGTCGAAGAGACATCACCTAAGCTCTCAATAGCGGTTTTATGGTGGTCGAGGATCACGACATTGTCGACTTTAGGAGAGACTTGGTGCACGAAACCGGGCTGTCCTGTGAAATCAAGAAGATAGAGATGACTGATTTCTTGAAGAGGAAGTTGGCTGATTGTGATTGGAGAGTAAACTGTGTTTGGAAAGAAAAGCGAAGGGATTGAATTCGCCGAGAAGTAGAGATGCGCGGCTAAAGCTGCGAAAACACCGTCATGGCAAGGATAATGGTAAAGAACCGCCACTTTCTTCTGCATCATCTTCACTCCAAAATTCATTCCTGAAACCAAAACAAAATTTTGAATGAACAACAAAACAAAATCAAAACTTTTTATACACAGAGGTCTACACTCATGTGAAAGAGCTGATACGAGATTAGAGTGGCACAGACCGAGCTTTTAACAATATAAACTCGAGAAGATAAACTGATAAAAGAGTTCTTATGCAAGATTTTTGCAGAAGCAATCACCAAACAGTTAACAAAAAAAACCGAAACAGAGTAAGGAATCTGTTTTGTTCAAGAGAATTAATGAATAAGGATAGATTA